CGAACAGCTGGTAAACTGGCTGGGATTTCTGGGATTTGTAGGCCAAAACACCTGGGGACCCACAGGTTGAGAACCACTGCCTTAGGCGATCCCTTATTGTCCGAGTAGGATATTATTTATTATTATTATTATTATTATTATTATTATTATTATTATTATTATTATTATTAGGTTCTTGTAGGTTTTTCCGGTATTTCTAGGTGCAAAGATGAGTGCAGATGCAGACTGTGGCCAGGAAATCAGAAGACGCTTCCTTCTTGGGAGGAGAGCAATGTCCAGTCTCGAAAAAAGAGTAAAGAGTAGAGACATCAGACTTGCAACAAAGATCCGCCTAGTCAAGGCCATGGTATTCCCTGTAGTAACCTCCGGATGTGAGAGATGGACCTTAGGGAAGGCTGAGCGAAGGAAGATCGATGCTTTTGAGCTGTGGTGTTGGAGGAAAGTGCTGAGAGTGCCTTGGACTGCGAGAAGATCCAACCAGTCCATCCTCCAGGAAATAAAGCCCGACTGCTCCCTGGAGGGAAAGATACTAGAGACAAAGTTGAAGTACTTTGGCCACATCATGAGGAGACAGCAAAGCCTAGAGAAGACAATTATGCTGGGGAAAGTGGAAGGCAAAAGGAAGAGGGGCCGACCAAGGGCAAGATGGATGGGTGGCATCCTTGAAGTGACTGGACTGACCTTGAAGGAGCTGGGGGTGGTGACGGCCGACAGGGAGCTCTGGCGTGGGCTGGTCCATGAGGTCACGAAGAGTCGGAGACGACTGAACGAATGACACCTTCATTAGCATTTGAAGGCCTGGCTGAGCCTGGGAAAATCTTTTGTTGAGAGGTGTTAAGATGTGCCTGGTTGTTTCCTCTCTGCTGTTTTGCTGTTGTAATTTTAGAGTTTTTTAATACTGGTAGTCCAGATTTTGTTCATTTTCATGGTCTCCTCCTTTCTGTTGAAATTGTCCACATGCTTGTGGATTTCAATGGCTTCTCTGTGTAGTCTGACATGGTGGTTGTTGGAGTGGTCCAGCATTTCTGTGTTCTCAAATAATATGCTGTGTCCAGGCTGGTTCATCAGGTGCTCTGCTATGGCTGACTTCTCTGGTTGAAGTAGTCTGCAGTGCCAGCAGAGAGGAAACAACCAGGCACATCTTAACACCTCTCAACAGAACTTTTCCCAGGCTCAGGCAGGCCTTCAAATGCTAATGAAGGTGGTCAGCTGAAACATTCACACCTAGCTTCAGCAGAGAGCTCTCTGCCCCACCCCAGTCATTCCACAGATATATAAACCCATTGTCCTAATTCCAATAGACCTCACAACCTCCGAGGATGCTTGCCATAGATGCAGGCGAAACGTCAGGAGAAATGCCTCTAGAACATGGCCCTATAGCCCGAAAAAACCTACAAGAACCTAGTGATTCCAGCCATGAAAGCCTTCGACAATACATTATTATTATTATTATTATTATTAAACTTTATTTGTACCCCGCTAGCATCTCCCGAAGGACTCGATGCGGCTTACAAAGGCCAAGGCCTCAACACATAGTCTTCCAGGATCAGGGGCCATAGGTGACTGTGGAGCCCTATTCTTGATCTGCATCTTCTCCCACAGTGAGGGCATCGGTTTCCAGGTAGAAGGCGGTCCCGGTCAGGGTTGGTTTGATGTGCCTTCCTCTTGCCACGTTTCTCTCTTTCACCCTCCATCCGTGCCTCTTCAAATTCTACAGCACTGCTGGTCACAGCTGACCTCCAACTGGAGCGCTCAAGGGCCAGGGCTTCCCAGTTCTCGGCCTCTATGCCACAGTTTTAAAGGTTGGCTTTGAGCCCATCTTTAAATCTCTTGTTGAGATTAATTTCACAATTCAGCAGCAGATTAGTTGCACAACTTCAGCGCTTTCTGGTAGCTTCTTCCTGCACATTATTTTCAGTCAACTGCTCCCACAAACTTTAGTCACTCTGGAACTCTTTTACAGACACTTGAGCACATGCCTGGCTATTATCAGTTTTACTATTGTTTTCCCCTCCAATCTAGATGACACTACAAACTTACCACAGCACACGGTTATATCTTGTCTTAGCAGACAGGTTCTTTTAATCAATTACATAAAGCCTTCGACGAACAGCATCACAGCACATGGAGAGAGAGTACACTCTACATGACTTCCTTATATACAATTCTATACAATTACACATAGCAATCTCCGATTGGTTCCCAACTCATTAACTTAACTCAGACCCAGGATTACATCATTCACAATCACCTGGACTAGGCCAGAACACATTCCCCCAATGATTCCCTATATACAGTTAATGCATGACTCAGCATTTCCAATAGAAGCTCATTAGCAGTGCATGATTCAGCTATATTACATTACAATACATTGTAAAACCTGACATCTCTTTTTCTGCCCACCAACATTCTATTTTCCTTTTTTGAGTTTGGAGTAGAGCAACTGCTTTGAGAGACGGTGGTCGGGCATTCGGACAATGTGGCCGGTCCAGCGAAGTTGATGGTGGAGAACCATCGCTTCAATGCTGGTGGTCTTTGCTTCTTCCAGCATGCTGACATTTGTTCGCTTGTCTTCCCAAGAGATTTGCAGGATTTTTCAGAGGCAACGCCTTGGTTACATCTAGATTGGACTATTGCAATGCGCTCTACGTGGGGCTGCCCTTGAAGATGGCCCAGAATCTCCAACTTGTACAACAGGCGGTAGCCAGGCTCCTTACTGGAGCAAACTATAGGGAGCATACAACGCCCCTTTTAAAACAGCTTCACTGGCTGCCAATAAGTTGCCGAGCCAAATTCAAGGTGCAGGTTATGACCTATAAAGCCCTAAACGGTTCGGGCCCCGCCTATCTTCGCAATCGCATCTCCTTCTATGAACTGGTGCGAACTTCAAGATCTTCCAGGGAGGCCCTCCTTTCGCTCCCACCACCATCACAAGCACAGTTGGTGGGGACGAGACGACTTGGGATGGTTTAAAATTGGTGCCGAGACCATAAAATACAATTTCAATACAATAAAAACAATAGGATAATAAAACCATAACAAAATCAATGAAAACATGAACATCAGGGTCTCCTATTAAAAACATTGACAATGTGTTGTGAAAGGCTTTCATGGCCAGGATCACTGGGTTGCTGTGAGTTTTCCAGGCTGACTGGCCATGTTCCAAAAGCATTCTCTCCTGACATTTCACCCACATCTACGGCAGGCATCCTTGGAGGTTGTGAGGTCAGTTGGAAATAAGGCAAGTGAGGTTTATATATCTGTGGAATGATGTCCAAAGTGGGAGAAAGAAACTCTTGTCTGCTGGAGGCAAGTGGGAATGTTGCAATTCCAAAATCAGAACAGTAAATAAAGATTAACACTAAGAAAAAAACAATGGGAATTCCAGAGAAGAATAAATCAGGACCAGCTAGCCAGCTAACACCTCCCAAGAAAGGATTCCCCCAGGCAGGAAGCAGCCAGGCCTTGTAGATGCAAAGCTTTGCAATGCTAATCAAGGTGATCAGCTGCAATATTCACGCTTACCTTCAACAGACAAAAGTTCTTTCTCCCATCCTGGACATGCCACAGATATATAAACCTCACTTGCTTCATTTCCAACAGACCTCACAATCTCTGAGGATGCCTGCCCTAGATGTGGGCGTAATGTCAGGAGAGAATGCTTCTGGAACATGGCCAGTCAGCCTGGAAAACTCACAGCAACCCAACATTCACAATTTTAGAACACAACCTTTTAGTCAAGACCGAAAAAACCAGTGGAATATTATAAAGGGAATCGGCACCACATTTAAGTATTTTTTTTATTTACAGTATTTATATTTTGCCCTTCTCACCCGAAGAGGACTCGGGACGGATAACAGAATATATGTATGTGATAAACATTCAATGCCATTTTATACACAACTAATCAGACAATTATTCATATAATTCTACATACAATTATACACACAAGCGCCTGTATGCTTGTCCGCAATGTCCTGTCTCATGTACAGAGGAAGAACTGTCGGAGGTTACAGACAGTGCAGTTGCTGTTGCCCGTTTTTGGTCAAAAGATATTTAGCTGCTTGTGCTTCTTTTTAAAAAAATCAGTTTTATACTAATTTATGCAATGCTTTTGATACAAAAAAATACATAATTAATAAAATTATTATTATCATTATTATTTATTTACAGTATTTGTATTCCACCTTTCTCACCCCGCAGGGGACTCAGGGCAGTCACAATGCACATATACATGGCCAACATTCAATGCCATAGATACACAACATATATAGACAGACTCACAGAGGCTATTTAACTTCCAGCTTCATGAGGGTATGCTTTTTGAATTCTGGCCACTGGGGGAGCTGTCGCTTTACCATCTACTTGTGACACTGATGGAGTACTTCCTCATTCTTTTGCAGGCTGCTGGAGAGTTTTATGGCATCGTAAATTAGTTAAATAAACCTCCCTACATAAGTGGTACCTAAATTTCCTACTTGACAGATGCAACTAATCAGAGGAAAGTGGGAATAATGCAACTGGTGACCTTGATTAGCACTGAATAGCCTTGCAGCTTCAAAGCCTGACTGCCATTATGCAATAATGCAAGTACCCAGATCTTTGGGATTCAGAAGCCGGATTATATGGCAGTGTAGAAGGGGCACCCACTTATCAGAGGCAAGTGGGAACAATGCAATGACCTTGATTAGCATTGACTGTCATTATGCAATCCCCTAGTAATTTGTTTGTATAGGATTATGAAAGTATTATTCAGTGTATATGCACCTTTGTTCCCAGAACACATACAGCTAAGTTGCAGAGTTTGATCCCCTTCCCATTTGCCAGAAATGACATTTAAATACCGAATCCCTCTTTCTTCCTCCCTCCCTCCTCTCTCCTCAGCAGCCTCCCAAACGGACAAACTGAGTTTTTTTAAGAAGAAAAAAACCACTGAGGGATGGTGGGTGGGACCTAATGTCTGCTAAAAAAGCCAAGTGCACTGGAAAAGTAAACCAATGTGGTAAAAGGTAGGGAAACCACCCATTTATTTTACTAAATGCAGTCAGACAGAACTCTCCTCTTTCAAACATTTCCCAGCTTAATGTGGTGAAGTCCATAGTCTTTATGTTCTAAATGGAGTCTGAGATCTGAGCAATCTCAGATCTGATCATTTGGTCTGCAGCCCGTCCCACAACTTCTCAGAAAAAAAATATAGAGCAAAGGAAAGAAAGCTGCATACCAGAACATACATAAAATAAGTAGCAACAGCATTATATACAAATTACTAGGGGAGGAATGAAGAAGGTTGTAATTTCCAAAAGTCTATGACAGTTCAAAAGGTATGAATCCCAAACAAAACATTTCCCACATGCCTAGCATCTGTTTTTTTAGCCAGTGTGTTTTCTCTGGTGCTTGTTAAGGGATGAAGACTGAGTACAACCTTTCTCATTCTTCTGCACTTTTACCCTTTCTTTCCTGTGCGTAGTTTGTTTTTGTTTTTTTGTGGTTCTCCAAGTGTGAACTGCGAGCAAAACATTTCCCACACTCCTAGCATTGGTATGGCTTCTCTCCTGTGTGGACTCTTTTGTGCCTCACCAAGTGTGAACTGCAAGTAAAACATTTCCCACACTCCTGGCATTGGTAGGGTTTCTCTCCTGTGTGGAGTCTTTTGTGACTCACAAAGTGTGAACTGTAAGCAAAACATTTCCCACACTCCGGGCATTGGTATGGCTTCTCTCCTGTGTGGAATCTTTTGTGGCTCACCAAGGCTGAATTGTCAGCAAAGCATTTCCCACATTCCTGGCATTTGAATGGCTTCTCTCCTGAGTGGAGTCTTTTGTGCCTCACCAAGACTGAGCTGCGAGCAAAACATTTCCCACACTCCTGGCATTGGTATGGCTTCTCTTCTATGTGGAGTGTTTTGTGCCTAACCAGGGCTGAACAGTCAGTAAAATATTTCCCACACTCCTGGCACTGGTATGGCTTCTCTCCTGTGTGGAGTCTTTTGTGCCTCACCAAGATTGAGCTGCTAGCAAAACATTTCCCACACTCCTGGCATTGATATGGTTTCTCTCCTGTGTGGACCCTTTTGTGCTTCACCATGTTTGAAACATCAGCAAAACATTTTCCACACACCTGGCATTGGTATGGTTTCTCTCCGGTGTGGAGACTTTTGTGCCTCACCATGTTTGAACTGTCAGCAAAACATTTCCCACACTCCTGACATTGGTATGGCTTATCTCCGGTGTGGAGACTTTTGTGCCTCACCATGTCTGAACTGGCAGTAAAACATTTCCCACACTCCTGGCATTGGTATGGCTTCTCTCCTGTGTGGAGTCTTCTGTGCCTCACCAATGGTGAACTGGAAGCAAAACATTTCCCACACTCCTGGCATTGGTATGGCTTCTCTCCTGTGTGGAGTCTTTTGTGGCTCACCAAGTGTGAACTGTAAGCAAAACATTTCCCGCACTCCTGGCATTGGTACAGTTCCCCTCCTGTGTGGGATCTCCAGTGGTCTATAAGGTGTGTATTCTGAGTAAAACATTTCCCACACTTCTGGCACTTGTACTCTTTCTTTCCTGTGTGAAATCTCTCGTGTTTCACCAAGTGTGAACTCTGCATAAAAGATTTACCACACTCCTGGCTTATGAAATCCTCATTTCCTTCAAAGATTTCTTCTTGGCTCAGATGTGGTGATTTGTAATCAGCAGCACATTTTGCTGATTCTTTCCTTTTAAGATGGGTTTTCCCAGCATGGAGTGTCTTGTGAAGTACAAATGCCATATTTTGGGAAAAACACTGTCCACATACATTGCATTTGTAGGCCGTTTCTCTGACAGAATCTCCATCTTCTCTGTGGGTTTGCTGGCATCTAGGAAGGCCCCCGTTGTGTCCAAAATGCTTCCTGCGTTTGGTGTATATATTGCTCTTCATCCAGTTGTCTGCTGTGAAGAAGATAAAAACAATCATTCCTCAGCATTAGTGATAAGGAGTCTTTAAATGTGAGAGAAGAAGTGGAATGATTATTAGAACAACAAAGGATTTCATTACATTGAAGCAGGGGAGTGCTTGGCAGAGCAGAGCTCAGTCATACTCTATTTTGAAATGAAACAGATGATTTCCCTACCTTTATCACACTGTTAAATCAACCAGTGTTACTCAGTTGTACTCAGCATTCTTTGAGTTTGTCATCACACTGTAAAGATTTGGCCCCACCTACCATTTGTCCCCCCCCCCCCTTCTTTGTTGGAAAAAAACCCTCTTCTCTTTGAAATGTCAGCTGTTACATGTCTTCAATTCCAGAAGCAAGGAGGGAGGGAGGGAAGGAGGAAAGGAAAGCGGCGATGCACTCTCTCTGTTGGCTGCCCCACAGAGAAGGGTGGAAAACTATAACTCACAGGACTGCATAGTATGGAACTATGGTATTTACATTCCAGCTGCATTCATTTCACAGTGTAGATGCACCCAGAGAAGCTTCATGGACCTTGGGAAACTGAAGTTACCAAGACCATTTCATGGAGTCATGGCATTTAAAATAAGGGCTAACTGTATTCATTCTACAGTGTAGATGCACCCAGAAAAGGGTATGGACCTTGGGAAACTATAACCCTCAGAAGGACTCCATCACATGGAGCCATTGCATTTAAAGTGGGGTGCAAGGGCATTCATTCCATACTGCAAATGCACCAAGAGAAGGGTATGGACCTTTGAAAACTATGACTCCCAGGACTGCATAGCAACAATCATTATCTCCTGGCTTTCTCATGCATCCAACACAAGCCACAGACATATCAGGGAAGAGAAGGGATTTTTTTCTATGAAGTGGGCTGAGTCCTTGATGTAGTGCGTAGTGAGCCCAATATGGATTTGTAACTGTGCAGCCAAAATTTTTGCTAAGTTGTATGTGGGGGATCCAATGGCACTCACAATGGGTTTGAGTGGGGTGGATCCTCTCACCTCTGCAGAAGTCTACTGTATACCATGCAGCTGTGGACAAGTCTACATAGGGACCACCAAACGCAGCAGCATTCCCCAGACACAGATCAAGGAACATGAAAGGCACTGCAGACTGCTTCAACCAGAGAAGTCAGCCATGGCAGAGCACCTGATGAACCAACCTGGACGCAGCATATTATTGGAGAACACAGAAATGCTGGACCATTCTCACAACCACCATGTCAGACTACACAGAGAAGCCATTGAAATCCACAAGCATGTGGACAATTTCAACAGAAAGGAGGAAACCATGAAAATGAACAAAATCTGCCTACCAGTACTAAAAAACGTTAAAATTATAACAGTAAATGAAAAACAAAACTCAAACACAGGGGAACTCCAGACAAGAAACAATCAGGAACACCTAATCATCTCCCAGGCAGGAACAAGCCACACCTAAAAACCGTCAAGCCATCAAATGGTAATCAAGGTGGCCAACTGAAACATTCACAGCTATCTCCAACAGACAAGAGTTCTTTCTCCCACCCTGGACCTTCCACAGATATATAAACTCCATTTTCTAGTTTCCAACAAACCTCACAACCTCTGAGTATGCCTGCCACAGATACAGCGAAATGTCAGGAGAGAATGCTTCTAGAACATGGCCATACAGCTCAAAAAACCTACAACAACCCAGAAATCCTCATAATTGTGGGAGCCTTACCAAGAGAGTCCACCATCCCATGAATATCCTCCATGATCTGCATGTGCAAGGCTTTCTGATCAGGATTCAGGAGAGCCCACTCCTCCAGGGAGAAATGGACAGCCATGTCCTCAAAGGTGATTGGGCCCTGGTGGGAAAAGAACACATTTCCTTCTCACATAAGGGCTATCAAGAAAAATAATTACAAGTTGATTTACATTCCTGTTGTTTGTTTGAAAGGGAAAGGCCTTCCGTCCCCTTCCACACAGCTGAGTAAAATTCCACATTGTCTGCTTTGAACTAGAATATATGGCAGTGTGGACTCAGATAGCTTAGGGCCCTTCCACAAAGCCCTAAGACCCAGAATATCAAGGCAGAAAATCCCGCTTCATCTGAATGTGGACTCAGATAGCCCAGTTCAAAGCAGATATTGTGAGATTTTCTGCCTTGATATTGTGGGTCATATTGCTGTGTGGAAGGGCCCTCTGTCTCTCTTGCAGGAGGTATTCATCACTGGGTTTGATTTCCCCTCTTCCTCCTTCTCGGGGAGGGGGAGATTCTCTCAAGTGCTGCTTCCCCAGTCTCCTCCAGTCTGCTCGGACTTCTTCTGTTCTCCAAGATTATTGCCAGTGGTTCTGAAATTTCTTCTGTGAGTTCCTGCTGAACTCTTGGATGTAGTTCACCTGGCCCTGGAGACTTGGATTCATTTAGAGCGGCCAGGTATTCCTGAACGACTTCTTTACCTATTTGAGTTGCATTTCCCCTATTGTCCCATCTGCTCCATCTTGCTCAAGTAGAATACTGATTCCCTTTTGGGAGAAGACTGAGGCAACGTTCTACCTTTTCCCCATCACTTTCTCCACTTTGCTCGTTTTTCCTTCTTCTACTAACACAACCAAAGAAACCCTTTTTATCATTTTTAATCTCTCTGGCAACCCTGAGCTCATTTTCTGCTTTACCTCATCAGACCTACTTATGCTGGTTAGTCGTATGAATTCTTTGGTGATTTCCCCTCTTTTCCATTTCTCGAACACATCCCTTTTAAATCTTAGCTTAGCTTAAATGTCTTTGTCTTCTGGTTTCTTTAGGCTACTCTTATTTATTTATTTATTTATTTATTTATTTATTTTTTTCCCTCCTTGTTGGCACCGTTTGCAATTGTGTCTTCAGTATCTCACTTTTAAGAAACTCCCATTCAATCTTTTCTGTTTCAAGAGATGTTTGATGATGAAGCCTGGAAGAAATGACCCCCCAGGCAGCTCCCTTCCTCCTCTCCCAGGAATCCTTCTGCTTACCTCATTCACTTCCACTTCATCACAAAGGGGAAGAAACGATTGAGGATTCGGCAACAACATCATTCCAGCCCCTGGGAGAGAGAGAGTAAGGTATGGAAAGCTGATCACATAAGCATGTCTCAGAGGTTACAATCACAGCCTTGTAAAGAAACCTATGAGGAAATGACCCTAAGAACACAAGACCATTCTCCAGCCAAGGAATATATAAAGTTTTGGAGTTTAAGAGATTTTATCTCAACCAGTGCTGTGATTAGGTTGCATTGAAACGAGTATTGGGCTTGGTATTTCAGTTGACTAAAGTTAAAGTTGTCTGGGTTGTATTTTTGGCTATATGGCCATGTTCTAGAAGCATTCTCTCTGGACGTTTTGCCTGTATCTATGGCAGGCATCCTCAGAGCTAAGGATGCTTGCCATAGATGCAGGCGAAACATCAGGAGATAATGCTTCTAGAACATGGCCATATAGCCCAAAAAACCTACAACAGCCCAGTGATTCCAGCCAGGGAAGCCTTCAACAATACATTAAGTTGTCTGTTTGTCTTCCAGCTCAATTTCAGGGCCCATCTCAGCTTCGGGTCCCACCTGTGATGATACTGAAGAGCTGAATTTTCAGTCCTATTCAACTTTAGACTAATGCAGAAATATTGCAAGAAAGAAAACTGCTAATCACAATGAAATTACACCTTTTGCAACCGAATGCTTACCTATATATTCATTCCAAGGCCAAAAGATCCTACATGTGCATGATCTCAATATCAAATTGATTTGGCATGTGCTACAATTACCCCAAAGGGGGACTTACACCAGCCAAAAACACCCAAATACCCCAAATAATTCCTTCTTACCGTGCAAGGCTGCAGCCCCTTCTCCTTCCTGCTTCGGTTCCTTCTGCTGGAGTCTCTGGGTGGTGTTTGATGGAGGTTTCTCAGATTCAGGGACATCAAGGTGGACTTCAATACAGTTATTTTGGGCCTGGGACAGCACAGAATGTTCCAGAAGTATTATGGAGAAAGATTAGAAAAGGATTTTTCCCAAATGTACAGAAACTGAATTCTGGGATTGCAACCCAGTTTGCAGCAAAGACCATGCTCCCCGTTCCCATCATTCTAATACATGAGCAACCAAGCTTACAGTGTATATGGAGATGAGAGCAGGAGGGACAGAGTAGGGGGGAAAAGAGGCAGAGGGAGCAGAGTACAGCTTCTCCCTCACATCACTCCCATCTTGGAAGGAAGGCAGGTTGTACGTTTAATCTATTTAATCTCTCCATCAGTCCCAAGGTGAGTGAAGCCAAGAGGGAATGCTCTCACCTGTCCTTCCTGCTTCTCGTCCTCTGCCCGACTCAGGAGGAAGCCTTCCACCAGGGCCACCGCCTGGGAAGAGGTCTCTGCCCCACACTCTCGGACCCAGCTCCCCATCTCTGGGGGCAGGATGCTCAGGAACTGCTCCAGGATCACCAGGTCCAGCATCTCCGCCTTGGTGTGTTGCTCTGGCTTCAGCCACTGGCGGCCAAGATCATGGAGGCGGCTACAAACCTCTCTGGGTCTCTCACCTTCTTGGTAGGAGGACTGCCTGAAGCGCTGGCGTTGTATGTTCAAGCTATAAAGATCCACACACAGGAACTTCTGTGTAATTTCCCCCCAGGATGCCCCACTGCTCCCAGGTGCTGCTTCAGGTCCAGGTGAGTTGGGTCTCCACATGTTGAAACAAGTGTTTGATGAAGAACCAAATTAGATCCAAGATGCTTTTCCTTCCTCTTCTCTCAAAAATGAAAATCCCTGAACAGGCTCTGCTCTAGAATTCTCCAAAGACAAGATATTACTGTTAGGAAGACTAGCAAAAAAAAATAATTTAAAAAATCACATATCTTCTGTGAAGAAAAAGCAGAATTAGGTGGGAAGGTTCAAGAAACTTTTTATTGGAGAGTCATTTATTTATTTCAGAACCAAGTAATGCTGGATCCTCCTTTCACTTAGGCCTCTGCTTACCCAATCCCAGACCCTTCTGCCGTCACTTGACTTTCCATTGAGTTGTCCCTTTATTCCTCACCCCAGTCCCAACTTAGACTATTCCTCCATGATTTCTTCAACTTTCTTCAACTGCTCCTCCAAACTTCCTCCCAAATGCAAACTTTGATATAAGGGACTTCATTTTACTATGCCATTGCATCTATAATGAATGTTGGGCATCCATGGATTTTGGCATTCATGGTGGTGTCCTGAAACCAAACTGCAGCGGATAACAAAGGGCACTGGTATATTTGGGTGTATATGTGTGTGTATTGTTTAGCACATCTGGTAAAATCACCAGCAATTATAACATCTATCAACTAAAAGTTTGCTAGTTCAAAGCCCCGGGTTGGCATGAGCTGCTGACTATCAAGCCCAGCTTACTGTTGACCTAAGCAGTTCAAAAACAGCTTGTATTGTAATTAGAGAAATTTAGTACCACTAAAACAAGTGGGGGAGGTATTTTACAACACGATAAAAAGAAAAAGACCAAAAAATGCCTGCGACCAAAAAGGAAGAAGTCCTGATGGCTCTTCGTAATAGAGGATGGAGCAACAGTAGCCTCCTCTGGCTGGATTTTAAGTACAACCTTCCAAAGGTGCTGACATCAAGACAACACAACTTGTCTCCTTTCTGTCTGTTCTGTCCTTGTCTGTCCAAATGGCATTGAATGTTTGCTGTGTACGTGTACTGTGATCTGCTGGGTTGCAGTTAAACATCAGGAAAACCAAGATGATGGCAACCGGACCAATTGATAATTGCCAAATAGAGGGAGAAAACATGGAGGTAGAGATAGATTTTGTGTTTCTAGGCACGAAGATTATTGCAGACACAGGCTGCAGTCAGGAAATCAGGAGATGCTTACTTCTTGGGAGGAGAGCAATGACCAATGTCGATAAAATCGCGAACTGTGGCGACATCACACTGGCAATGAAGGTCTGCATAGTTAAAGCAATGGTATTCCCCGTAGTAACCTATGGATCATAATAAATTGTGGCAAGTTCTTGGTGGGATGGGCATACCAAGCCCCCTTGTCTCTCTCCTGAGGAATCTGTGCAAGGACCAAGTAGCAACAGTAAGGACTGACCACGGAACAACAGACTGGTTCAAGATTGGGAAAGGCATACGGCAAGGCTGCATACTCTCACCCAACCTTTTTAACTTGTATGCAGAACACATCATGAGATGTGCGGGGATTGATGAATGCAAAGCTGGGGTGAAAATTGCTGGAAGAAACATTAACAACCTCAGATATGCAGATGACACCACTCTGATGGCCGAAAGCGAGGAGGAGCTGAGGAGCCTTCTAATCAAGGTGAAAGAAGAAAGCGCAAAAGCTGGGTTGCAGCTAAACATAAAAAAACCCAAGATTATGGCAACAAGAATGATTGACAACTGGCAAATAGGGGGAGAAAATGTGGAGACTGTCACAGACTTTGTATTTCTAGGTGCAAAGATGACTGCAGATGCAGACTGTGGCCAGGAAATCAGAAGACGCTTACTTCTTGGGAGGAGAGCAATGTCCAGTCTCGATAAAATAGTAAAGAGCAGAGACATCACACTGGCAACAAAGATCCGCCTAGTCAAAGCCATGGTACTCCCTGTAGTAACCTACGGATGTGAGAGCTGGACCTTAGGGAAGGCTGAGCGAAGGAAGATCGATGCTTTTGAACTGTGGTGTTGGAGGAAAGTTCTGAGAGTGCCTTGGACTGCGAGAAGATCCAACCAGTCCATCCTCCAGGAAATAAAGCCCGACTGCTCATTGGAGGGAAGGATACTAGAGACAAAGTTGAAGTACTTTGGCCACATCATGAGGAGACAGCACAGCCTAGAGAAGACAATTATGCTGGGGAAAGTGGAAGGCAAAAGGAAGAGGGGCCGACCAAGGGCAAGATGGATGGATGGCATCCTTGAAGTGACTGGACTGACCTTGAAGGAGCTGGGGGTGGTGACGGCCGACAGGGAGCTCTGGCGTGGGCTGGTCCATGAGGTCACGAAGAGTCGGAGACGACTGAACGAATGAACAACAACAAAACCCAAAATAGGTAAAGAACTAGTCCAGGAATACCTGGCCAGACTCAATGAATTCAAGTCTCCAGGACCACATGAACTACATTCAAGAGTCCTGAAGGAACTCGCAGTAGAAATGTCAGAATCACTGGCAATAATCTTTGAGAATTCTTGGAGAACGGGAGAAGTCCGAGCAGACTGGAGGAGGCAAAGGTTGTCTCTATCTTCAAGAATGGACAAAAAAGAAGACCCCCAACAATTACCATCCAGCTTGACCTAAATAACAGGAAAGATATTGGAGGAGATCATTAAGAAAGCAGTCTGGAATCACTTAGATAGAAATGCTGTAATCTGGGTTGTTGTAGGTTTTTTCGGGCTATATACCATGGTCTAGAGCAGTGCTTCTCAACCTGGGGGTCGGGACCCCCAGAGGGGTCGTGAGGGGGTGTCACAGGGATCACCAAAGACCATCAGAACGAATGAACAACAACAACCTAAGGATGTGAGAGCTGGACCATATGGAAAGCTAAGCGAAGAAAGAGAGATGCTTTTAAACTGTGGTGCTAGAGGAAAATTCTGAGAGTGACTTGGACAGCGAGAAGATCCAACCAGTCCATACTCTAGGACAGTGGTTCTCAACCTGGGGTCTCCAGGTGTTTTTGGCCTACAACTCCCAGAAATCCTAACAGCTGGTAAACTGGCTGGGAGTTCTGGGAGTTGTAGGCCAAAACATCTGGGGACCCACAGGTTGAGAACCACTGCTCTACGACTGCTCATTGGAGGGAAGGATATTAAAGGCAAAGATGAAGTACTTTGGCCACATCATGAGAAAACAGGAAAGCTTAGAGAAGACAATGATGCTGGGGGAAATGGAAGGAAAAAGAAAGGGCCAACCAAGGGCAAGATGAATGGATGGTATCCTTGAAGTGACTGGCTTGACTCTGAAGGAGCTGGGGGTGGTGGCCACGACCAACAGGGAGCTCTGGCGTGGGCTGGTCCAGGAGTTCACAAAGAGTTGGAAACGACTGAACATATAAACAACAAAAAACAGTCGGAGCTGGGCATGTTTAGCCTGAAGAAGAGAAGGCTGAGAGGAGATATGATAGCCATGCATAAATATGTGAGAGGAAGTCACAGGGAGGAGGGAGCAAGCTTGTTTTCTGCTTCCCTGGAGACTAGGACGCGGAACAATGGCTTCAAACTACAAGAGAGGAGATTCCATCTGAACATGAGGAAGAACTTCCTGACTGTGAGAGCTGTTCAGCAGTGGAACTCTCTGCCCCGGAGTGTGGTGGAGGCTCCTTCTTTGGAGCTTTTAAACAGAGGCTGGATGGCCATCTGTCAGGGGTGATTTGAATGCAATATTCCTGCTTCTTGGCAGAATGGGGTTGGACTGGATGGTCCCATGAGGTCTCTTCCAACTCTTTGATTCTATGATTCATCAGAAGGTGTGGAATTACTCCTGTTAGTAGTTCTAAACAGCAATGGTTATGCTTTAGTGCAGGGATGGGCCAACTTGGGCCTTCCCTCCAGGCAGGCTGTTAGGAATTGTGGGAGTTGGGAGTCCAAAACACCTTGAGGAAAGGCCCAAGTTGGCCCAAGCCTGTTGCAGAGCTTGTTACACAGTTTGTACATTGAACAACAAATGGAGGAATGGAGGGAGAGAAGGAAGGAGAAAGCAGACCCTCTCCCCACTATATCCAAGCCCTCCCTGTAGAAGCCTGGAAGCCTCTCTCCCCTTTTCTCCTTCCCCAATATAGGAATCCCCCTACCATTCAAGACAGCCCCCTTTGCCTATGGAGAAAGACTGGGAAGAAGGAAGGACTCACCGGAAGGAGGAAGCGGAAGAAGGAGGAGACAGGCTGCGAGGAGGAAGCGGAAGAGGCCCAAGGGGGACGTTCTAGGCTGAGGGGTAAACAGAGGCTCTTCTGCTCTGGAGGACTCCCTCCTAGAATCATAGAATCAAAGAGTTGGAAGAGACCTCCTGGGCCATCCAGTCCAACCCCATTCTGCCAAGAAGCAGGAATATTGCATTCAAAGCACCCCTGACAGATGGCCATCCAGCCTCTGTTTAAAAGCTTCCAAAGAAGGAGCCGCCACCACACTCCGGGGCAGAGAGTTCCACTGCTGAAGCTCTCACAGTCATGGGCCATCCAGTCCAACCCCATTCTGCCAAGAAGCAGGAATATTGCATTCAATGCACCCCTGACAGATGGCCATCCAGCCTCTGTTTAAAAGCTTCCAAAGAAGGAGCCTCCACCACACTCGGGGCAGAGAGTTCCACTGCTGAACGGCTCTCACAGTCAGGAAGTTCTTCCTCATGTTCAGATGGAATCTCCTCTCTTGTAGTTTGAAGCCATTTTTCGCGTCCTAGTCTCCAGGGAAGCAGAAAACAAGCTTGCTCCCTCCTCCCTGTGGCTTCCTCTCACATATTTATACATGGCTATCATATCTCCTCAAAGCCTTCTCTTCTTCAGGCTAAACATGCCCAGCTCCTTAAGCCGCTCCTCATAGGGCTTGTTCTCCAGACCCTTGATCATTTTAGTCGCTCTCCTCTGGACACATTCCAGCTTGTCAATATCTCTCTTGAATTGTGGTGCCCAGAATTGGACACAATATTCCAGGTGTGGTCTAACCAAAGCAGAATATCTTATAGTACTTTAAATAATTTTTTATCCTTTTGCTGAAGCTACTTTTATTCTTCAATAAACAGCTTTGCTTATACTAAACTTTGGAGTATGAGATTGGATCAGACAACGAATAATGGGATTTGCAGTACTTCACCCACTTCCAGAACCCACTGCAACCCCCACAAATGATGGACCTAGACCATACTTGGAATACAACTCCCCACCCACGACTAACTTTATGTCCTGGTGAGGTTTGGGGGTGGATTGACCACGGATGATGGAATTTGCAGTACCTTCAACTGAAAGGGTCTTTGAGTGAAATTTGCAAATGCTAAGCAAGGGGCTTTGAATGAAATTAACAGCAAAAGAGAAATATACCCTTTCTCTGTAGAAAAGGAGCAACATGGAAGAAAATGTTTTTAAGAAACAAGATGCGACATGTAGAGGTCATACAAAGTTCAAGCCTACATAGGAAGTAGTTGTGTAGTGGTTAAGTTCAAAGGTTGTGGTTAAGCGCAGAGTCTGCAGGTACAAGAAGGTACTTTCCATCAAAAGGTCAAGGGAGAGGGGCTGGAAAAAGAGTACTCTCCAGGACCTAATACTTGAGTATAAAAGTCAGCAGAAACAGAGGAGGGGCGCAGAAGTCTTTGAAAGCACAAACAGAAGTGCTTCTGTCCATCTCATGTTGATCAGCTTGATTAAATGGTGTCTTACATTAACTAATTGGACTCTGTGGATTTCTTTGAAAAGGGACCCCACACCCTAAACTCGTGATCCCTTACACAACCACTTCCAAAGACCAATGCAACACACACTAATGACGGACCTGGACCAAATTTGGAACACAGATACCCCGCCCCCTGCCGAGGTTTTGGGGAGGATGGACCATGGATGATGAGATTTGTAGTACCTCCATCTGCTTCAAGAAACCACTGTGACCCCCATCAATTATGGATCTGCACCAGACCCAACATGGCCAACTTTGAATACTGGTGGGGTTTGGGGAGGACTGACCCACAATTCTGGGAACTGTTGTTTGCCCACATCCTTATGCATTTTCTAATGGGACTGTTAAAAAAAAAAACAAAAGGAATGACTGACTTTTTTCTTTAAAAAATAGAGTTACAAATTTCCAAGCTGATATTACCTAACATCTAAAAACAAAAAAAATGTCTTTTTCTAATAACCCGAGCATTGCCGGGTACCCAAGTTAGTTGCTATATAAAATCTACATTATCTGCTTTAAACTTGATTATATGGCAGTGTAGACTCTTATAATCCACTTCAAAGTAGATAATGTGGATTATCTACTTTGATAATCTGCTTTGGCCATCTGTTGGGGGTGCTTTGAACGTGATTGTCCTTCTTGGCAGGGGGTTGGACTGGATGGCCCATGAGGTCTCTTCCAACTCTATGATTCTATAATAACCTTGATTATATGGCAGTGTATAAGGGGCCTTAGTCTAACTTCCTACTGGTTGTAGTTGTCTGCCTTAAGATAGTAACATCAAATTTCAGATGGTCACATGAGATATAAGGGACCCCCAATTTCCAATGAAATACACTTTTTTCTGGGTTTCATATTCTGGTCGTATTTTTATTGTTTTCTTCTTTTAGACTTTTCTTTTAATTCTGTTTTTGAGTAAAATGACCAGCTATAGCTGTAAGCTATACGCCCAAAACTAGTTGGTAAGCTTGTATTTCTTATACAAACTGTGGGATGTTTTACTCTACACAGACACATCCAATTTCCCTACAATACAAAGTCCAAGGGCTTAAATTTTACCAAACATGTCAGGTTATCACTTGGTCTATAATAGATTCAAATACTTGTAATATATAACACTGTACGTTCTAAAATAATAACAGCACCCATGTTTTTCAATTTAATGTGGATCAAAAATGTGTGTGCCAGGAGCAAGTAGATTCCAGACAGAGGCAAGAGTTCTCCAAAACAGTTCCCACGTCACACAAAGCAAAACACCTGAACAGCATTCAAATCCAAGAAGAGCTGTCCATGAGATCAATGCAAAGAAAAGCCAAGTGCTACTTGAATCCAAGGGAATAACATGTGTTTATCAGGAAATGTTGACTGTTTCCAGCACCAGAATGTCCACAACCTGTAATTTTCCTGTTATAATTCATTTTATTAGTTTTGCCCCAGTTCTTTGGATGATTTCTCTTTCTGATAGTTTAAAAGGAATGAACCCTGAACAAAACATTTCCCATACGCCTGACATTGGTGTGTTTTTTAGCCTGTGTGGATTCTCTGATGCTTCATAAGGGATGAACTGTAAGCAAAACATTTTGCACACTCCTTGCATTAGTATGGCTTGTCACCTGTGTGGAATCTGTTGTGCCTCACCATGTCTGAACTGGAAGCAAAACTTTTCCCACATTCTTTGCGTCTGTATGGTTTTTCTCCTGTATGAACTCTCTGGTGGCTCATAAGGGATGAACTCTGAGTAAAACATTTTCCACAATCTGGGCATCTGTATGGTTTTTCTCCTGTGTGAATTCTCCGGTGGATCACAAGGGATGAACTCTGAGTAAAACATTTCCCACACTCCTGGCATTGGTATGGTTTCTCTCCAGTGTGGAGTCTTTTGTGCTTCACCAAGTCTGAACTGGAAGCAAAACAATTCCCACAATCCTGGCATTGGTATGGCTTCTCTCCTGTGTGAAGTCTTTTGTGGCTCACCAATTGGGAACTGTAAGCAAAACATTTCCCACACTCCTGGCAATGGTATGGCTTCTCTCCTGTGTGGAGTCTTTCATGGCTCAGTAATTGGGAACTGGAGGGAAAACATTTCCCACAACCCTGGCATTGGTATGGCTTCTCTCCTGTGTGAAGTCTTTTGTGGCTCCCCAAGTCTAAACTCTGAGCAAAACATTTCCCACAATCCTGGCATTGGTATGGCTTCTCTCCTGTGTGGAGTCTTTTGTGGCCCACCAATTGGGAACTGTAAGCAAAACATTTCCAACACTCCTTGCATTTGTATGGCTTCTCTCCTGTGTGGAGTCTTTTGTGGCTCACCAATTGTGAACTGCGAGCAAAATATTTCCCACACCCCTGACACTGGTATGGCTTCTCTCCTGTGTGGAGTCTTTTATGCCTCACCAAGTGTGAACTGTAAGTAAAACATTTCCCACACTCCTGGCATTGGTATGGCTTCTCACCTGTGTGGAGTCTTTTGTGTCTCAACAAGCCTGAACTGTAAGCAAAACTTTTCCCACATTCTTTACACCTGTATTGTTTGTCTCCTGTATGAATTATCTGGTGGCTCGTAAGGGATGAACTCCGAGTAAAAGATTTCCCACACTCTTGGCATCTATATGTTTTTTCTCCGATGTGAACTCTCCCATGTTTCATGAAGTGTGAACTCTGGAGAAAAGATTTCCCACATTCCTGGCTTATGAAATCCTCAGTTCCTTCAAAGATTTCTTCTTGGCTCCGATCTGGCAATTCGTAATCAACCATACATTTTGCTGGTTCTTTCCATTTCAGATGGCTTTCCCCAGCATGGAGTATCGTGTGAAGCACAAGTGCCATATTTTGGGTAAAACATTGCCCACATACATTACATTTGTAGGGATTTTCTCTGGCAGAATCTCCATCTTCTCTGTGGGTTTGCTGGTGTCTAGGAAGGCCTTCATTGTGTCCCAAATGCGTCCTGTGTTTGTTGGATACATTGCTCTTCTTCCAGTTATCTGCTGTGAAGAACAAGAACAGAAACAATCATTCCTCAGCGTGAGTGATAAGGAGTTAAAGGAAGTGGGATAAGAAATGGATTGAAATTATCCTTAAAACAACATAGACATGGATGAAAAGAAGGTATAAATGCTGCCTTCTCTCCACCTCTTGTTCAGTAAGGATGAACACTGAGGGCTTATAGCAGGCATGGGCAAACTTTCTAACGGGAGTCGTGTGGTGGGCTGGAGCGGGGTGGGCAGGCCAGGAGGGAGGGGGTTCTCCCCAAGCCCCCTCCTGCCCTTTCCTCTCCTTCCTCTTCTCTCAATGGGAAACGTTTGGATCCCACAAGGGTTGGCCTTGGTCAGGATAAGATGATGGATGGGAGAGAAAAAGTGTATCCACCACACTCCGCATTGCCTACTCCTGATATAGAATCCTACAGCTAGAAGAGCCCCAAGGGCCATCCAGTCCAACCCCCTGCCATACAAGAAGGCACAATCAAAGCACTCCTGATAGATAGCCTCTGAGGAAAATCCTCCAGAGAAGGAGACTCCACTACACTTCGAGGCAGCCTGTGCCACTCTCCAACAGCTCTGACTCTCCTAATCTTTTCAGTTGAATCTCTTTCCCTGCCTTTTGAACCCATTGCTTCCTTGTGGTATCCACGACATGCGAGTGTGGAGAAGAGCAAACTACAGACCACCTACTGCAATGCAAGCTGAGCCCTGCCACATGCACAATGGAGGACCTTTTTGCGGCAACACCAGAGGCACCCCAAGTGGCCAGATACTGGTCAAAGGACATTTAACCAACTACCAAGCTTGCAAACTTTATGTTTTGTTTGTTTGTTTGTTAAAAATGCCATAAAACTGTTTGGCTTGCTCCTGACATGATAAATAAATAAATCATTTGCATCACTTGCATTTTTTACCAGTTTTCCTGTACGCCCTATTTAGATCTCTATATGGAAATTGAAAGATTAAAATGTCTAACAAGTCAATACACACACATCAAACATACTTGGAATTGTACTTTGAGGAATGCATACTAGTTTGACTGAAAGATTGGTTACCCTAAAGAAATGAGAGACTGTCAAAATTAGAAGCTCATGATTTACATTTTGGATGGGATGCCTATATATGGTATCAAAAAGCAAAAATACACGCAGGCTTTAATCACCATTTTATAAGATGAGTACAAAATCAAGCTATGTCCAAAAAACCCGCTATCAATTTCAATGGAAGAAGCTTTGTGCAGGTTAGATAAGAAGAAAGGAGAACACCGGATTACATACAGAGATTTAATAATACTAGAAGATGAAAAATACGGATTTATAACTGAAGAACTGAAGGATGCAGGACTTCACCTGCACTGGTACAGATATAGGCAACAGAAAGATTTGCTCTAGACAATAACAATATGGGATTTGAAAGAGACCAGTCAAAATATGAAAAGGAACTGTGTACTGATGAGGAACAGCATATTGGAAAAATATATAAAGTATTACTGAAGACAAAATGTCCAACAAGCCAATACACACAAATCGAACATGAAAAAAAGAAAACATGAAATCCACGGTCCCACCTCAGGACCCAATAAAGTCTAAAAAGCATGTTCAGGACAACAAGAGAAGTTGTAATACTTTCTAAAACATGCCAACTTGAAATTGCAAATCAACTGAAAGACAAAGAAGGGAGATTCTTCTGTGTACCAGAAAGACTAAGAGAGCCATCTATTACTAATACGTCATACATATTTCTAACATAAGCCCTGCCTTGAGGACACTCAGTGACTGGAATGATACAGGATATTGTTCCCACCAGGGAGTTGCTGGTTGGCATGGAATCACAGAGTTGGAAGAGACCTTGTGGGCCATCTAGTCCAACCCCCTATCAAGAAGCAGGAAAATCACATTTAAAGCACCCCTGATAGATGGCCATCCAGCCTCTGTTTAAAAGCCTCCAAAGAAGGAGCCTCTGGGGCAGAGAGTTCCACTGCTGAACAGCTCTTGCAGTTAGGAAGTTTTTCCTCATGTTCAGGTGGAATCTCCTTTAGTCTGAAGCCATTGTTCTGCATCCTAGTCTCCAGCAGAAAACAAGGCTGCTCCTTCCTCCCTATGACTTCACCTCACATATTTATACATCACTATACATGGATTCTGCATTTTGAAAAAGAAATCCCCATGAGTGAGGGAGCCTTACCAAGAGAGTCCACAATCCCATGAATCTCCTCCATGATCTTCATGTGCAAGACTTTCTGATCAGGATTCAGGAGAGCCCACTCCTCCAAAGAGAAATGGACAACCACGTCTTCAAAGGCAATTGGGCCCTGGTGGGAAAAGAAAGCATTTCCTTCTCACATAAGAGCATCAAGAAAAATACTTACAAGAAATAGATTCCTGTTCGTTGTTTGAAAGGGAACGGGTTAAGTCCTCCATGCCATAGTTGTAAGCTATGTAGAGACATCTGGTCAGTCACAGTCACAACCATTTCTTAATTGATATGTAGAATCAGACTGTCAGGAGCTGATTTGCTGCTGTTCGGAAAGTCACCATAAATGCTCTCGAATATCTCAAGGTCAGCAGAGGCCATTGGTGGAACGATTTTAGAGCAGCTGAATGGACTGCTTCTTCTCATGGAAAAGACTGACAAGGATTGTACCCTCTCACACTAGAAATTGCAATAAAAAGAACCTATTCTTTAAAGTTATTGAAAAGTTATTCATGACACTTCTGTTTACCTGATTCAGTTCCACTCCATCACAAAGGGGAAGAAACGACTGAGGATTCAGCAACAACATCATTCCAGCCCCTGGGAGAGAGAGAGAGAGCAAGGGGTGGAAAGCTGAACACATAAACATGTCTCAAAGGTGACAATTACAGTCCTGAAAAGAAACCTATGAGGAAATTACCTTATGAATGCAGGAGCATTCTCCAGCCCAAGAATATGTAAAATTTTAGGGCTTAGGACTATCTCACAAGCAGGGCTGAGAGTAGGTTGAATTGAAACTAGTCCTGGGCTTGGTATTTCAATTTACTAAAGTTATTGTTTGTTGTCTGTTTGTCTTCCAGCTCAGTTTCAGGGCTCATCTGAACTTCGGGTCCCACCTGAAGTTTCAGTCCTATTCAATTTTTGGCTAATGCAGAAGTATTGCAAGAAAGAAAACTGCAAATCACACTGAAATTACACCTTTTACAACCAAATTCCTACATATAATAATAATAATAATAATAATAATAATAATAATAATAATAATAATAAATAATATATTATCAGGAGCGACTTAAGAAACTGTTTTTGTGTGTGTCAGGAGTGACTTGAGAATCTGCAAGTCACTTCTGGTGTGAAAGAATTGGCCGTCTGCAAGGACGTTGCCCAGGGGACGCACAGATGATTTGATGTTTTTATCATCCTTGTGGGAGGCTTCTCTCATGTCCCCGCATGAGGAGCTGGAGCTGATAGAGGGAGCTCATCCGCCTCTCCCCGGATTCGAACTTGTGACCTGTCCTGCCGGCACAGGGGTTTAACACATTGCACCACCGGGGGCTCCTAATAATAATAATAATATTTTTTAATTTCTCCTTGAGGCTTGAGGTGCGTTGCAACACAATTTAAAAAACATGAACATTGCAAAAATTCAACAAATATACATATTTCTATAAAAGATCCACAATAAACAGCATTTCTATAAAATACATATTGAAGTACATAAAAGAGACATCATACAAAGGACATGAGTTTAAGATATATACCCATCTCAAGGCCAAATGATCCTGCATAAGCACCTTCTGAAGCTCAAACTGTGAATGTGCTACAATCTCCTCAAAGGGGAATTTACACTAGCAGAAAACATCAAAATTCCCGGAAGAGTTCCTTCTTACCCTCCAAGGCTACAGTTCCATCACCTTCCTGCTTCAGCTCCTTCTGCTGGAGGCTCTGGGTGGTATCTGAGTGAGATTTTTCTGATGCAGGGACTTCAATTAAGTTATTGTGGACCTGGAAGAGCACAGAGTATTCCAGATGTAGCATGGAGAAACCCAAAAATATCACAGACCTATGTGCAGAAACTGAATGGACTTTTTAAAAAAAACTCTGAGATGGCAACCTAACAAATGCCACATTCCCCCTCCTATCACCTCAGTGTTATATCTAAGGTCAACAAATTTGAGGAGAGCAGCAACCAAGCTTACAGTGGACATGGAGGTGAGAGCAGGATGGGCAGAGCAGACTGGAAAAGAGGCAGAGGGAGCAGAGTCCGGCTTCTCCCTCAATCAATCCCATCTTCGAAGAAAGGCAATATGTATGTTTAATGTATCCATCAGTCGCAAGGTGAGTGAAGCCACGAGGCAATGCTCTCACCTGTCCTTCCTGCTTCTCGTCCTCTGCCCGACTCAGGAGGAAGCCTTCCGCCAGGGCCACCGCCTGGGAAGAGGTCTCTGCCCCACACTCTCGGACCCAGCTCCCCATCTCTGGGGGCAGGATGCTCAGGAACTGCTCCAGGATCACCAGGTCCAGCATCTCCGCCTTGGTGTGTTGCTCTGGCTTCAGCCACTGGCGGCACAGAGAGTGGAGGCGGCTGCAAACCTCTCTGGGTCCCTCGCCCTCTCGGAAGGAGCACTGCCTGAAGTGCTGGCGATGTATGTGCTCATCCAGGATCATCTGTGTAGTTCTTTCCCATAATTCCACACTGTTCCCAGGGGCCATGTCTGCTTCAGGTCCAGGTGAGTTGGGTCTCTCCATGTTGGAAACACTCTGTTGAAGAACCAAACCGTATCCAAGATACCTCCCTCTTCTCTCAATAGAAAGAAATCCCTGAACAGGCCCAACTCCAAAATGCTCAGGCAACACTCACTTTTCCTCTGTGAAAGAAAGGCAGAATTAGACAATAGGCTTCGGGAGGCTTTTTTTAAAGAGTAAACAAACAAGCCCTTTAGTTATTTCAAAGCCACGTAATGCTGGACCCTCCTTTCACTTGTATCACGAAAATATGATATGCAGATTTGATAAATGTGGATTTGATA